TTTTTGAGGCAACACACCAGCAGGCAGTCAATCACTATGATTGCATCAGTGTTTTGAAAAGGTCTGGCTCCCCGTCTTTCAGAATTCACACTGAATGTTGATGAACTATAGCTCATTTGTGATTTTCCAAAGCTCTGAGAGTCTACAACAGGGCATCTGGCTGAGGATCCTTCTAGACCAAAGCTGTGTTAGCTGCTCACATGTTTACTTTTAGCACGGCTCATATTAACAGCTAAATCTAACTTTAGCTCGCCGTGTCAGGGGTGACAACAAGCATCTTACTACTGTGACCGGCATGCACCTCCCAGAGGCCCAAAATACATGTCTAGAAGGTGGAGATCAGTCAAGGCAAAATAGAAGTCACGACTTTTCCTGAACACATTTGAACTCTGTGATTATTAAAAACCTGCAGGAGTATTTTTACATTACAAATTTTAAAAAATGAGCGCCCCTTGAGGGTTAGATTCTACAGCCATATTGTTACGTTCTGAATAATCTTGATTGCAGGAGATAACACTCCCCTCACTCGCCTCCTATTTTTCATTTGGCATAGTAGCAGCACGCCATCTTATCAGCTGATCCTGAGCCAGAAGCTAGGAGTAGTTGCTCAGCAGAAAAAGGAGGGATTGTGCTGGGCTCGGCTATAATATGAGAAAAAGCCCAAATGCTCTTGGATCAGTCCCATGCTTTGTCCTCATCTCTCACGTTGCCTCTTTCCCTTGTTCATTTTTCATCCTCTCTCCTTTCATCTTTTTGTCCTACGCCTCCTCTCCTTCCTCTGCATTCTGCTCACTCTCTCCCTCCACCTCTCTCTCTGCTCCACTTATAAGATTTGGCAGCACTCCAAGATCTGAGAAAAACATTGGAGGCATAGCCTCGTTCTGATGTCTGGAAAGAGGGGGAGACTGAGAGTGAGAGAGAGCGAGAGTCCTCATTTCCATTTCACAGACTTGATTCACAGCAGAAAGGAAGAATACAGGAATATGGAGAGGCTGAGTGTAACCACCAGTCAGAGAGAAAAGGACGGATGGAAAGATAAGGCAAGCACAAATCTCTTAGATCGCATGAAAAAAAAAAGAAAAATTAGGTTCACAAAATGCGATGATGGTGTAGAAATGCAGAGACAGACATGAAAGACAAAGCGGGAGTAAGGGGGAGGGGGCAGGAAAAAACTGTCCCCAAAATATCTTCAAAATAAATCATGTTTGTGTGACCTCTTAAAGACAATTTATATTCAGTACTCTTCATACAAATTAGTTCAGCTGCAACACACACACAAAAAAGAGAAAACACCAAACAGTTCATCTGCCTCTTGCAGCAACTGGGTCTTATACCAATCTGAGTAAAAACACATTTGGCACGCAGCATTGTAATCATCTTAACTTTGCAGGCCTTCATGGTAAACAGGCCAGTCAGATGTAAACCCCCCTCTACGGACCGAGCCAAGAATCAGAAGGGAAATTTTACACATCCTGCGGATTCAGCCGTGCTCCTCCTAATTGCTGGTTGGAGCTCCAGCTTCTCCCTCGGTGCTGAGACGAGAAACCGTCATTACTAGTCTCACAGGAGCCCGAGCCCAGCTCCAAAGGGAAACTTTGATTGATGAAAAGAAAAAGAGGCAGATCTGAGCGTGTCCTCGATACAACATTTGCTGTGACCTTGTTTTCCCTGACAGGTCTAAAATTAACCAAACGGATCAGTTATACTGGGAGTGGAGAAATGTAGACCAGATTCTCCTTTTGGCGCGTCCCTGTCTCTGCTCGCTTTCAGGGGATTACAGCAGCACGAGCATGCCTTTTGATTTATTGTGCTAAACATAGATTCATTAGTGAAACAGCTGGCTACGTTGAGAGCTTCACTGTCTCCCTCACAGGCCTTCCCTCCCTCCACCCACCCACTGGACCATATTCAACGTTTTTATGTAAAATAAACGCCTGAGGATTAGAATTTATAGTGTCTTTTTTGGGGCTATGCTGTCAGTTTTAACATTATGGTCGGCTGCTTTTTCCAACAAAATGAACGCGATTATAGTTTATAGATGGTATTTTGTGCAATTTCTGAATATTTATTCAAATATTAACGAAAGGAGAAGCACACATCTATCTGAACAGGCAATTAAAAAAAACACACACACACACACACCTCGTGCTCTAAAGACAACAAATATGAACTCTGAGTTACGGCTTTACTATCACATCACAATCTTTGTGTAATGCTGCATACCAGCTAAGTTAACCATTACAAGGAGAAGCAGTGAGGCTCCCTGCTTCACCTATCTGTTATTGCCTTTCACTTAGCTTGATTAACAGCATTGCGTCAAGTAAATCAATCAAACAGTCAATGAAGGATTTTATGACCATTGATTGTGCTATGTGTTGCAGCCGACTGATAAAGCGTGTCTGGGTTTCGGGGATATTTCACATGCTTGGCTCTAATCCTGCAAACTGCATGACTGTACACCGAGCTGTACTTTGGACAAAAAGCCGCTATCATAAAGCAGCGGAAGGAGACGGAATCTAGATGAACCTTTGCCCGAAGTTTCACCTGGCTCTGTCTCAGACGAAACGCCTTACGAGGTTTTCTATAAAACAGGTTGAGGGTAAGAGCACATCAAAGTCAAACAATGTTTGTCTCATAAGCGGGAGCTTAAACATTAAAAATCCCTGAAGGTTCTTGTAAGTAAACAAAAAAGGAAAACCTGTGAGTCATTAACCACAAATGGCTCCTGCTTGATTATACTGAAAACAGAGAAGATGATTCACTTAAGTAGTAGCATAAACAAAATATATATAATCATAAAAATTATGGCTGAACTCCACGCCATCAACTCTGCGTGACCTTGTCCTCACATGCTGGTTGTTTACTGAAATCTCCCCATAATGTTCCCTCCTGCATACGAATTGACAGGCTGCAACCGGAGCATCTGCTGTGCACCGATTTCACCGGTAACTATGCAACGCCAGAGCATTGTGTTATGACAGACCTACTTCCAGGGACACATTATCACTGTATTAGATACAGTGCTGGCTATTTTAGTCACCACTGAACAAACAGGTATTGGCTCTGCTTGCCATAAGTCTTTACTGGAAGAGAGAGGAGGAAATGTTCTTTTATGTCTCATTGCATCATACTTTAACTCAGAGTACGAAAACACGGCTCTCCTCTCGGATATTTTCAGATGTGGCAATTTTAAATTGGCTGAGAGTACAGCGTGATAAGGAACAAGTAGGTCAAAGAGCCAACCAATTAAAAAAATAAAAAGTCTCAGAGAACAGTATGTAAGATGGGATATGGAGTGGGTGTGTTGTTGATGAGCACAGCAAAGTGTTACCCTTTATCAAAGTAGGCTGGTTTTAAAGTCCAACTGATAAGATAACTTTCCAAAGAACGGAAAAGGACACATAAACAAACAGCTGCCTTCAAAATGTGCACTCGTGCAATAAAAACAGATTTCTGTCGGTCAAAAAACACTCAGCCTTATATCACACCGTAGAAAAAAGCTGGTGTTTGTTCTGAATGTTATTTTTGTCCCTGGCCTCCTTTCTCAGTCTTCTCAGTACGGGGACAATAATTATCCCTGCCCTTCTTCGTTGGCAAAATAGTAGAGTGCAAAGGCTATGTTTTCATTCAACATCATGAATCAATCAGTTAATCAGAACGCCATGAAGCTTATTAAGGCGTGTGTAAGACTTTCAGGTGCCTTCCAGAAATACAGTTAAAACACAATGAAGCAACAATGTAAGAGCTGTTTTGGGGTCTAATTGCCAAAAAGAAAAAAAAAGAATGTGCTTTGTTTTGCAAGTAGCATATTTTGCCTCAAATAATTACGCAACTGCGTACTACACCAAGTCCTCCTCTCCACTAGATATCATCCTCCAGTGTGAGGGTCCGTTTGGTGCAGTCTCAGCTTAATGGGAGTGAGAGTTTCTTTGTCTGAGAGAGCAAAAAAAAAAAAAACACAGCCTCAAGATTGCTTTCTCCTTTGCAGACACAGTAACTGCAGTTTGCCACTTAACGACCCCCATAAGCTGCTCTGCGCTTGTAGAGATGAGTCTGGCTGTGTACTTGCCACTGCGGAGACAGGATTGCTGTTTTTATGACCGCGGTGCCATGAATCTGCAACAGTTAAATTTTGCATTTGAAGAGGTACAGAGCCAGGTTGGTATGTGAGGCAGCATCATGTTTACTTTGATAGGAGCGACAGTGCACGCCGAGGAAGGAAATCTGTTCTTAGCGTGTGGAAGCATGTTGCATTGGTAGCCGGGCGTTAGCGTGCACAATGAAAACCACACGAAATGCTAAGATTGGAAGCAAATAACGGCATTGCTGCAGTGCCAATGTGCCTAATCCAATGCTTGGACTTGGTCTGTAGCGCTGGTTTTATTAAGAATTTCTCAACTGCAGAGTGAAATCAAAAGTACTTGGTGACAGGTTTTTGTCTAAAATATGGGAAAAACCCAAACATCCTTATAATGTCAGACACAATTTGCACACAAGCTCGAAAATATGCGGCGCCACTGTAAAAGCCAAGAATGTTCTTCAGGAGCGGTTAATTTCAGCAAAAATTTGTGGTTACACAACGTGGTTGCACGATGCTATCACGTTGACATTCATGCACTTTCTCATTACTGACTCAACAGATTCCAGCTGACTGAACATGACTTGGCACCTATTTCTGTAACGCTGCAATCAGTTACAGTGATGCACAAGCTAGACCCAAGTTGGAAAAATGTGTCTGTTTTTTTTGGGGGGGGGGGGAGTTTTGTTGTTGTTGTTTTTAAATCCAGCCACGCTTTTCCATGAATCACGACAGGCATGTGTGTAGAAGAAGCTGCCGTCCTGCAGCCTGAAACAGTAGCCTACTTGTGTTGTGCAGCGTAAATCAAGTCTCATGAGCCGTCACAACAAGCCTGCGTATCAGAGCCGAGAGCCCTATCTCATCATCTGTCCACAGCCCTGTGCAACTTATTCACTCAAATGAAGCAAGCTCAGACAATAAATTCATACAAGATCAGAAATTGTATTTGGCAATTTTTAAACAAGTGCATACAAGTACAGCTAAAAGCATTTTAGTTTTGCCAAGTGCTCGTAGAGTAGCATTAGTCACATTCTACGTTAAACAGGAACTGCCACCAGACCTAGAAGTACATCAAGAATTTTGTTAAACATCAACAAAGAGGAACGTAGTTCATTATAATGAGTACATACCTTTATCTTCAAAAATATAGAAACACAATGTATTCAAAAATCAAAAATTATACAACCATGTTTACGAAGTATACTCTTCCCTTGGGTCCAATATGTACAAGTCCGTTAGTTTGTTTGAATGGTATGTATGTGATATTTATATATTTATACTCATATTTTTGCTTCCCCTCCCCAAAGAAGTGTTCAAACAAAATCAAGGGTCTCTCTCCTTTTTTACTTTGACATCTCCTGCAAGGATGGTGGCAATTTCTCCTTGCATGAAAGCCCACGGTACGTTCGAGCCAACCAGGGGACATTTCTCTCCACTTGGACAGTACACTTCACCCGTGGCACCTTGCTGCTTTATGCTTTCCCTCGAGCAGGGGAAGCAGAACTTGTGCGAGGGCACAGACGGGCACTGAACAAAGTGTGTGTCCTCCAAACGCTCGTGGCACAGCGTGCAGCACAGGGGTATGCTGCCGGGTACCGAGGAGTCCGGAATGCTTTGGGGGTGCACTTGGTCCATGCCTGGCACATGGGGGGTACCTGCACCAGACGCCTCTCTCTGTGCCAGCCGCCTCTGATTCATGGAGGACGGTGACAGGGGGCTGCTGCTGTTCCTCCTGGTGGTGGAGTGGACCTGGTTGGCATCCTTGGGAGAGCTGTTCCCACCAGCGTTATCTGCCGCCATGATGAGCGCCGCCATGGGGGACTGGCCGTTCTGGGCTGCCTCAGGTGGGGTGGTGCGGGAGTGGGGGGATATTGTGGAAGGGGGAGAGGCAAAGCTTGGCGGGGGAACTGGAGGCATTTTCAGTCCGTCGGTAGGTGGTGGTAACCACTGCTGTGCGTCTCCATTGAGCTTGGCAGCTGTCCCCTCTCCCTCTGGTTCAGGTGACGCTTTTCTCTTCATGCTCCGGGGGTGTTTGCCTCTGTCTGGAGGTGGGAAAGGGTTAAACACAAGAGTTGAGTTGCACAGCTCACACTAGGAACAACAATTACACTGGAAGGAAGACGTACATTTTTGCTGTTCTGTGCTGCACCACAGGCTACAAAACAATAACAAACACAGCAAAGGAGCAAAAAAAAATGCATTCATGCAACTTTAAATGTGCAGACACTGTACATTATTCACCATTTGCTCGTGATTAACCCATTCCACAGCCAAAGTAGGTGGATGACTGTGACACAAAAATGAAAAATGCACAATATAAGCAGACTAGTGAGACAGTGCTGGGTGCCTACCTGACTTGGAAGCAGTGGCGCTGGCCTCGTAGCCCATAACCCTTTGTTGCATGGCCGCATGGTCCTTCTTGAACCTGTTGTCGAAAGTGTGCAGAGCCATCAGGTCCCTCACCGTCTTGCCTTTGCCCATCCACTCCGGATCTGCCCTGTTTTTGTGGCTCTCCGAGATCTCCGGCGTGAGGCTGTCCGGTCTGTGCTTCTCCTTCACCTCTCTGTCGTGCTCGGTGCTGGAGACCGAGGCGGGTCTCTTGCCCAGGTCGGCGGGACTGCCGGCCGCCAGCGCGGAGGGAAGCCCCATCTGGCCCGGTCTGCCGTTGACGGCGTGCACCGGGGGCATGTTCCCGTTAACCAAAGGCACTAGATTCGGGGGCACCGCGTTATTCCTGCGCGGGTTGGGGCTCTGGCGGTTCAGCTCTGGCGGCTCGTCGGGTTTAGGAAATCCATTCGGCACGGGAAGGCCGTTCGCCTGCCTGCCCGCCTGGTACTCCGGTCCCAGGCGGGGCGGCCGGTCGGA